GAATAAAAAATATTAGAATCTCTTATAGCAAAATATGAATTTCTAGTAACTTTTTCGAGATGCTAAGAGAGGTAATTTGACGACGAAATTTATGGCGCAGAAATAATATTCCTTAATGACGGACTAATTTGGTTTCGAGGTTGGTCTAGTTAGGTAATCACCTATCTCTTGCTTCGTAATGATATATTGGCGATGGAGCTTGACATTTCAAGTGGAAAAGCAATGTGTCATCGATACACTCGAATGAGCAGCCTCTCGGATATTTAACAAGGAATATATTTAAATTGTAAAATTATCCAATTACAAGTATCAAAGCTAACGTAATCAAAACACGTTTTATTTAAATTGGTCTTTAAATTAGAGTAGATTTAATCGGGGCCTCTTTCGTGTACCGCTTACAATAATTACCTGCGAACAGCAGCCAGCATAAAATTTACATAGCGCACTTCCCCGCGGTGGTATCGGATACGTACTGGCCGTCCGGCAATAAGCATCGGGGATACAACCTTTCCCGTGGCTGCACGGCAGAAAAAAACCTCTGCGTTATCGGTTACGGAATAGAAATTATAACATAGTCCGCGAATTCTCCGCGTGTAACATTTCGCGAACGTTAACGCGAACTACCCCAGTCTCCCAGATCGTCCAGATTCCAGCCATTTCGAATTTTTCACGCGACTTATGTCCCTGATAACCGCGACTATCGGCAACAGCGTACGCCGGGGCGCTCGCGAAGCGGGCGCGGGGAAGTTGTGGTTTAATGAATGTCAGATAGAACAACGGCGGTGTATCTACCGTCTGGCGTGCAGGCTGAATAATCGGTGAACGGCCTTGAAATACAGTCTAACCGGATACCTGGCGACTGGGCGAGACGTGGGCAAGAAAAGTGCGGGGATTAGCCGCATAAATCGCGGGCCCTGGAGTTGGAATCGCGACGGAACGGACGACGGAATTATCGTAGGCATTTTTCCTCCTGCAGGCACTTTCCATCCCTCTCGTTCCTTTACATATCTCATCCACTCTCTTCTCCTTCTCTCTCTCTCTCTCTTCTTCTCAGTCGTTTCTTTCACATTCCACCTCTATTCCGTTCCCTTCCTTTAACGTGCCTCCTACCCGGTCCTCTCCAACTCTATCGTTCTGGCAGAGGCTGCAGTGACCCGAGACGGCGATCAAGCGAGTCGTGGGTCGTGGCTGCGCCGTATCTCCTCTCACGTCCCTCTGCTCCTCTCTCTCCCGCCTGTTCTCCTTCATCTGGCAAACTGTCTACATTTTTCACCGGCTCGAGATTTTATTTGCCCGCAGCGCCGCGAAATTAAGCCGTTTTGAGATATTTATGAATGGATCGCTGAGGGGCTCACGCATGGTCCCTCCGGCGGTTGAACAAAGAGGGGTTAGTCCGTAACGCGACATATCTAGACGCGAGGGTTCGCGATTTGCAGGTGTTGTCAAGTTGGTGATATCGCGAAATTTGTCTAACATTTCTTCGACGTACTGTCATCATGTTATATTTGCTACAATTTTTTGTACCGCGACATTAACGTGTCGTCTAAGAGACTAGCTAATCTTCAGATGAGGTCCACATGACGCTTTAGAGCGCTCTGGTGTGCGTAACTCGTTAATAAGTTACAGATATCGCCGTTCTTAGTTCGCACTTGATGCTTCGATCGTAGGAATAATACAGCTACAGTGTTAAGATTTAATAACACCGGCTCATTTACATAGTGATGATAATATTGATCGCGCTAAATAAGTTCGTAGACGCGAAAGCATCTGGGGGCATCTGGCAATATTGAACGGACTGCTTAATGTATAATTTAGTAGATCTAAGAACGCAGGTTGCTGACTGCAAATTATTTATAGGATAAGAAGCCAATAACTATATCTTTTCATTTAGCTTGTCTAATGGAACGACATCGAAAAAATTTGATGAAATATAAACGCTGGTTATTTCTTTTAATGCAAAATAAAGAGTAATTTTTTGGGTAGCTATATATAAAAAAAATGGCGTAGGTCGATTTGATGAAATCTGGGTGCGTAGTGGTGCGGATATTGTCGGACATAGCCTGACAAACTTCCACAATATCCACGATTGTTCCCCAAGTCCCGAGCCGCATGCTAAAGCAGATATTAAACTTAGTATATGACCGTAATTAGACACAGGCCTGTGCCATCCATAATGGCGTATTTCTGTGCGTGCGTCCCATCGTGTCGCCCTTCTGTAGAGTGGCAATGGACCGCTGACAATTGACTATAATTTATTTGTCTCTGAATCATTTACGATAGAGCGCTAATTAACACTTTGCGAGGTTCCGGAGATAAGCGATATCTATCTTTTATGTTCAATGCATGAATTTTAATTTTTTTACGGTACGGTCAATGTAAAAAGAAGCATTGAACGTTTTATATCTTTATTATGTACGTAAAAGAAATTGTTAATCGCGTTATCACGTTTTCATTATATCCTCTGAGAGATACTTTGTATTTTTATATTCAGAAAACGTTTTTTTGTTAGTTTCATTAAAATGAATATTCGCTTCACGAATATTCGGCTTCTGGTGAGCCTCCTCCACCTCAGCGCCCAATTTTATTCTCGTCGGATAATTCTGGCACAGCGCGGCATTAGTTTTTCTCTGTCGAAATTATTGATAATGCCCGCACCACCAGCACTTCGCCGATGGGCCATATTTATGGCGAATGGAGTGGGCGCAATCAAGTTCACCCGTCTTCCAAGACCGACGTGACGGGGGATCCCTCCTAGAGTCGGTCGGAGAGAGGATGCAACCAAGAGTTTTCTGGCTGCCGTGCTAGGCTTGCTCCTGCGTGATATGCCGCCAGGAGGATGGAATGGTCTCCCCTCTGGGTTGCCAAGGTAACCTATGTCCCACCCTTCGGGCTTCGGTAACCACCCCGTGGCTGCAACGGACGTACGTGTGCCAAACTGACGCACACGGCCGCGCTAAAAACGGTGTTGATTCGCACCAGTACAAACGCGGCCCGGTCCCGCCACACGTACGTAAAAAGCGGAATTCGTGAGTGTGGTCGCTGATTCAGGTACACGCGTACACCGACGCGAGCCCGTGGACCGCATTGGCGAGAACGGCCATGCTGAATTCAATATCAGCATTCTCTGCATTCTCCAAGAGTTTTCTGCTCGGCCCGGAGCGATACGTATTTGATGGGTCATCCTGCATCGGGAATTGCGCACGTGCGTGTCATTCGAGCTCCCAATCGCTATAGCACGAGTATCGTTATGACGGAAGATAGAAAATACGGCGCCTCTCGCTTAAATCTGTCGTAGGGTAATACCTCCCTCCTTCCTTCCTACGCTATTTGTTAATCCGATTTCGCGACATGCTATTCCGTAAGATGTAAGCAAATCACGGCTGCCATAACTTTAGCATAAATTGCGATCGCTTGCTAATCAGCCTCATGAATAGCATTACTGTCTTCTACGAAATATGATATTATGCTTTAATTTTATTTATTTATGAAAATGAATGTGTAGTATCTCGAATAGTAATACGTTCTTTTCGATTACAAATCCATAGCGAGTTTAGAGTTAACTTTTAGCAAAATTTTATTACATGTTATTTTTTCACGGTTTTTAACTTCTGACAGTAAAATATCTTGCTCATTAAGTCGCAAAGTTTTGATTAAAAAAATTTACTAAATCTACATTTTATACGGTTATTAAATAAGAATTGACATGCTTTTATTTATATTTACATGTATTTTAATATATGCTTTTCAATGTATCCGTGGCTAATTGTTATAAGTACATCCCTTCGATTTCTAACCAATATAATAATTAATTTTCTCACTTTTTACCGTGTTGATACAGTCTTCGTATTCTCGTAAAATAATCGGAAAGAAAAATCTTGCTATCTTTTATTGGTCAGTAGCACGCATTTGCTTCATCACAAGGCAATAATATGGCCACTCAGCGTCGCTGTGCGAATGATGGTATTATGGCTGTCCACTCTTTGCACACTAAAGAACCGGTTTCTTAGCGATCTTCAGAAAAGAGATGCGCCTCGCCCGTGGCGACAACTGAAAGTGAAGTTACCTTTGAATTGATTACGAAAATATGTTCGAAATTCAGCAATAACCTTACAGTGCAAAGGGACCACTTATGTGTAACTATCACTAGTTAAATTTGCCTTACTGCTTTTATTTATAATTATTCTCTAATTATTTAACATTTTATTTTAATTGTTATTATATTGTCATTACATTTAATTATAGATAACTCGGGCTATCGTAGAAACTATTTCGAGGCAGATATGCACCTCGCAACGTCGCGCTAACTTTTTTTTACCTGCGCATCGGCGTTTCGATTTGTATCTTTAAAACTCGTAAAAAAATTTAAAGTTACCTGTATCTTTGTTTATGACATCAACTGGAGAAAGTTAAACGAGTGAAGTAGCACTAGAAAGGGTTCGTTGTGAGTAACTTTCATGAGACCTTCCGGGGAACTTTCTATTTTTATTCATCCTTTTTTTACGTATTTTAACCCTCGCAATGAGCGGTAGGTTGAAAGAACATTTTTTTTCTTTTCAGAAAGAGAGAAAGTGAGGAGAGAGTTAAGATTTGTGATGGGGTGTGAAAAGCACCTGAGATCATCAGTTAGTAACAGGGAAGAGTATTCTTAGTTGAAATTATTATCGTTGTAGATGAGATAGATTTCACGCTTAATAAAAAAAATTGATAAAACAATTGTTCAAAGATGTGTACGATATAATTCTTTATTACAGAAGTATGGAATATATATGTATATATTTTTACTCTTACATTTTTTTAACGTATTTATACTTAATAACTAATTAATATGTTTTAATAATACGAAGAAAAAAGCTTTTAGAGGTTAAAAATAATTTTGAATATTTTTAATTTTAAATTTATCTGCATAAATTTGTTCGTACGTTAATATTACATCTTATTTGAAAAGAAGTGTCCAGAGACTATCGAGTGGTCTCAAAAATTAGATTTCTTAACATTTCCAGGTCCAAATGGCTGCCCGAGGCGCAGAGGTCGGCAAACGTACACGCGGTTCCAAACACTGGAATTAGAAAAAGAATTTCACTTTAATCACTATCTGACGCGACGACGGCGAATAGAGATCGCGCATGCACTCTGCCTGACGGAACGACAGATCAAGATCTGGTTCCAGAATCGGCGAATGAAGCTGAAAAAGGAGTTGAGGGCAGTCAAAGAGATCAACGAGCAAGCCAGACGCGAGCGCGAGGAGCAAGATATGATGAAGAAACAGCAGGCGGAGAAACAGGCCAAGTTACAGCAGGAGCAGCAGAGCGCCGCCCTTCAGCATCAGCAGCAGCATCACGTAAGCGGCCTGGAAAAAACGCAAAGCGATCTTCTGAAGGCAGTCAGTAAGGTACCCACATAGGATACCTTACTGAGCCGACTCTCTTTCTTTTAAGGAAGACACAAGAGACTGGAGCGGCCTGGACGAAGACTCCGAAGCGAAGTAGTTGGTAAGGTCGATCACGTAGAAGATCCTGAGTTCTCTTCCTCTCATCTTCGCACGCGAGAAACAGGTACGAAACATCTGATGCAAAGATTTTTGCGATCTTCCTCGAGTCGGTGAGCCGGTAGAGCTCGCAAGTAAAGAACCTTGCGGATCCATGCGGTCATCGGTCTTTCTTCTTTTTTTTTATCAAGAGGGGAAGATAGCGAGGATTTAGGAAGCCTGGAAGATACACAGAGCGCGATCTTCTCTGAGCGACCGAGAAAAAAAGATACGACGAATGCCTTGCTGAGTCGGTTCTCTCTTTTGTTTTTTTAAGCAAGAAAGAAAAAAAAATAAGTAGATGTTACGATAGTAAAAGAAAACTCGAAGCATAGAGAATGAACGCACCCCACCCCAGCTACGTACTTACTTGGCTAGCCTCCGAAAGGGCGACATGCGAAACTCGCCTCGCACGGGGCTCAGCCTGTGACTGATTCCTAGAACGTATAATGTATATTGTTAATCGGGTGCTACACACAATGAGCCATCGCGATTATCAAGCGATGAACGTACGAATTGGCGCGATACTGCCATGGAGAGCCAATAATTACGTCGAGGCGGTGAGTAGACTAGTTAAAACGGGCCGAAACTGAAGGATTTATGGTCGTATGGGCCGACGGAATCATTAACGACGACATTTCGATTTAATTGATCGAAACCTGAGGAAAGGGTGTAATTAAATCAAACTGCACAAGCGAACCGGCATTCAATCGCAAGAAATCGGCGAGCGAGATAAGAATTTAGCTAATCTTCGATTCATCACTTACGTTGTACGTACGAGTTTTCGTTGATTAGCTAGATAAATCCCTCGTAGGATGTATCATCGTTCCGGAGGAAAAACTGACGCGGAAACGATTTCATTATTTTCGACGTTGAAAAGTTTTTTATCTTCAACGACACGCGAATGCTTCCTTCGTACGATCACTATGCAAAATTTAGAAGAGGCGTAAAATTCGTTGGAACAACGAATGTGTCTCTCGCGCGATTGCGGACTTCCAACATAATTCCGATACTTCTTCTAGATATCGGTCAATAATTATATAAACAACGGGCGTACACGACTATTTTCCCCTACGTCGCTTTTTTTCAATGAAGAAAATTTAATTCGCGCATCCACTTTTTAAACGAATTAAATAATTAAGTGTTATTTATGTCGATTTTATGTGTTGAAATTTTAATTAGCCATCGAACAAACAGATTAGTCAAGTTTTATCTACATATGGGTTTTATAAAGAAAATGGTATCTTGCTTGGAGATTAAGATCTGATTTTACAGTACCGCATATATAATGTGCATATATATGTGTTATAAAATAACTTTTTCCACGAGAACAGCTCTTTTGGTACGCGTGGTCTCGCACAAAAAAAAACCTATACTCACGGATATAGGAAAAACATATTGTTTATGTTTTTCAACTATTCCGATACGTCAATTCAGGCAAATTGCAGGAAATAAAACTTTTTGTTAATAATATAGTAAATTATTTTAGACACAATAAAAAAAATTAGGGTATTTATTTTTTTACCAACGTGAGTAAAAATAGTATCCTATCGTGAGCAATAAGGTATCGTTGGATTCGCGAATTTTGTCGAGGAATTTAAGAAATATGAATGTTGTAATGGAAAGACATAAACGATATTCAGACATTGACGAACGTGGTAACGTGCCGTGAGTATATAAAACATTGGTTTTCTTAAGAATATATCTTTCTGAACGTTGTTTCTTGAAAGCGTGATATAGATGGTAAATAACTGTACAATACGCTTGGCAATCGCATACGCTTGTCAAGTTTCTGACAAAAATAATTGTCTCGATTATCCTGCCGTGTCGAAACAAGAGAAAATTAAACATACACAACAAGTACACACGACATGCAGTTAATCTATTTCTTTCGAGGAAATGTTTTAATCGTTAATCTAAGGTTGGGATAAAAATGTTTCACACATGCTAAATTCCATAACGTTTCCATTTCTATATAACGCTCAATCAAGATTGTTTAAGACTTACAATTTGCGCATCAAAAAAATTTTTTTATTTGATTCTTTTCCATCGTATATTGAAGATTAACATATACGTAAATGTTTGCAAATATATATTAATTTTGATGAAAACGAGCAACAAATGCGGGAGAAAGTGAGCATACACATGAATGCACGCTCTCGTATATACGTACGAGAAACACGAACCACACATTACCGGACGAATATCTCATTCTTAGTACATTAAATACGTAATTTGGTGTCAGGGTAGACTTTTCCATAGATATAGAACCCGTTGTTGGTATTACTTACTTAGAGTTCGTAAAAAAGAGGAAAAGATAAACATGAAAGAAATAACCGATATATAAATTATTGCCTAATTATTTTTTTCTCCTCCATGTTAGTGCGATCGATGCATGGGTCTTAATTCCTTATAATCTTGAACAAACTTTATTCGAAGTATATAGTTATTCTTTTTTTTAATAGCTATAAATCGAAAATAAACATATTGTTGTTTAATGCTGAGCAACGCAATGTGTTTATTTTTCATTGATTTTATAATTATCATATAAAAGAAAATAGAAAAATAAATTATGTTTAAGAAATAATTAAAATTATTTGTTAAAAGAATAAGATTTTTTAATCTGAATGGAAAATACGTAAATATCTGGCAACAGTCACACATTTTTAGATTAAGATGAGGACCTATTGCATGGATCGTTTCTAATAACTAATAATGACGTAAAATGATATTGTACACAATACCATATTATATATTATTAAAAGTAATAAGTATATATTATATATAAATATATATATATATGGACAAAAGAAGATAAAAATCTATTGTATCGCGCATCAAGGTAGAATTTTTTCTGATGCGGTAAGACCTTAGGATACATTTAAACAAGTACGTAAACTGAGGGGAAAAAATACCTTGTTAATTTAATTGAATGAGAAAAATAGCATAATAACGGCGAGCAGCTCCAAATAGACGTCCGTAATCAAAGCAAAAAGAAGCATACCTAAAGAAATTGAAGGGGAAAAAAACGTATTCGTATTAATACTCTACCGCTAATTTTATCTAAAGTAAAAAAGTAATGCTATAAATAATATTCCCATACGTAATGTAATGATTAAGCTGCGCGTATGAGTCCGCACGTACGATGTACTCACGTATCTCCTCACATAGCGAAGTACCTACTTACATACCGTAATCATAATAGTGTTTTAACATGTAATGTGCAAAATGAAAAAAGAATGAAGTAGAACATAATATATGCGTGTGTAAGATTAAACAGTTTTGCAGAAATTAGGTTTCAGCAAGGTAGCGAGAGCACTCGCAGAAATATGGTCGCTTTTAGGGATGTTACAAGCACTCAGCGTAGCTGATTGAAATATTCACGGAATATTCCTTAAACTATTATTCTAATTCAAAAAATAATACAGCCTCCTAAGGAGCTGTATAATAATGATATGTCAGAAATAATAATTAGTCATTAATGATTAATGTAAATGTTAATCATATTTATTTAATTAAATTTACAAATTTATAAGTAATGTGTTAAATCAATAAGAATTCGATTCATTTTTAATTATATTTTTACATTAGCTTGATCTGCAAGATCTTAATTTCGCGATATTAAATGTTTAATTACAATTACAAAAGTAAAGGTGAATTTTACTTTTTGAAATATTTTTATTTAAGTAAAATCAGATTTTCTTGACCAAAAATATCTTTTTATTGTACAGCAATATAACCAGCACATGTCGAACCATATTTCGTGCTTGTGCTCGACTTACGCATATAAAAATACAAAAGCATTATGGAACAACACAACACATATTTGTATATCGGTTCCACTCCACGTAATCTGTTGTCGTGTTAAGAGTACACAACGTAATTATTGTATATTTCGTGGCCGTAGTCCAAGGATCTTTCGGTTGTTCTGTCGGAATGTCAAGAAAAAAAAAAGAGAAGTACGATCGCGCCTGAACATACTCCGGCTCATTGTATACGGAACAAAAAAAGGAGTAATATCGTGGAATCGAAAAACGAGAGGGATGCGCACGGTGATGCGATTAGCCCCGAGAATCGGTGTATCTATTTGTAGAAAAGTTTTATAAACATGACTCTATTTACGAGCTATTATTATTATTATTATTATTATATTATTATCATTATCATCATCATCACTATTAATTATTTTTATTTTGTTTTAAAAATTTACCCGTCAGGTCCACCGTGTAGCTTTCGAATCTACAAGGCGGACGTGCGAGCATTAGTTTTATTATATTATTATTAAATATGAGTTATTATCATTATTATTGCTTAGTTATGTTTTTGATGTTATTGCTACAGACACCATTAATTATTAAGTGACATGGCAGCAGCAAGTACTGCGACGATGGCGGCGCCGATACGTCCGACAAATTAGAGATATACGTAATGCGTAATAATAATTATTATTAAACTTAGTCCGAAGAGTTTGTACAGTATGGGGCGATGAGATTTATGGCGGCCGTGTTAGTTTCTATTTACGATATATATTAAGTCCTTAATTCTAGCGAGGCGGTGTATGGCGAATAAAGGGGATGGCATCGACGTACGGAGTCGCGTCGATTTTTTTGCGCGCATACGTCAGACATCGACCATAGTGTTGGACTTGAGAAATGGATCGACAATGAGGATTAGTGATTTTTCTTCTATACGCCATTACGCATTTCTCTTTTAGAAAGTCTCGAATCAACTATCTTGTCTTAATCAGTTATTGGGTAACTGCATTACTTTATTTGAGGAAAAGTTTCAGAAAATTTCATTCGAACGTAGCTCGATTATGACATTGTTGATGTGGAATTTTTATAAAAACCGTTAATTTTTTACTCTTACAGTGAGTATACGAGTAAATTAAAAAAAAAAAAGATCGACTTGTTTGAAAATTGGCATTACAGGTACATAAGAGATGTACTCTTAAGAAAGTATACTGTCACGGATTTAATTCGTGATTTTCTGAATTATGCGAATTACGTCTGCATCTGATGTTATCCTAATCAATGAGATCCCTTCTCGAATCTTTCGCATAGGTCGGAAGAGTGTAGAGATATAAGGCGGAAATTTTAGAGTAAAAATTGTGCGGGCGCCGTCCACATATGAAGGCTTTTCTCTTGGCTTATATCTAAGCTAGCTGCAGCAACTCTCTATATGGTTATAGAATATTATTCCAAATAACTGACGCGTAATCATATCATATAACGTTCATAATGCTTCCCCATCCTCTTCTCTTTTCTCCTTATTCCCTCAATTTCTCCCTATCCCCCTCCCTCCTTCTCCCTCTTTTCCCTTCCGCGCTTCTACCTCTCTGTCATTTATATACTCGCTCTAATCTTACCATTATCGTAGATGTGTACTATATCGAATTGATAGTACCGATTAGTATAGTTACTGAAACGTTAAAGGAAAAAGGAAACACATAATATGTTAGTAGTACAACATTGCCCGACTTGCCAAACTCGCGTACACGTCTTTCTTGAATTCGCGTGGCCACATGGCCGGTTCTTCGACGTTAAAGCAAAAAATATTTATTGAAGCAAATCCCCCTTCTCCTGTCTCTACTTCCCAATCCCCGCGCGAGGACTTCTCTTATCCGAATTAATAAATATAGAACGAACACTAGAGTGTGGCTCAAACATTGGTTAAACGATGTAGTAACATTTAATGTGCGCGTATGAATAGTGAAAGAGATTTGCTTGAATAAAAAGGATTGCATGGACACGAATGTGAAAGTAATGATTGAACAAGATGAGTGAGAGAGAGAGAGAGAGAGAGAGAGAGAGAGCGTGTGCGCGCGTGTATGTATATGTATGTGCGTAAGAAAGAGAGAAAGACCGAGAGCGTGAAATATTCAGCGTAAATCACATCGTATTATTTTAAGCAAATGCGAATCTATTGGCAAAATTGAAATTAATTATACCTATTCTTCGCGATAAGCGCCACGTATATTGATTAAAAGAAGGGAAAAAAAGTATTTATGAAACAAGTAGAACAAGCCGAATCCGTCTGGCGGAACGTAGGATTGATACGGAAAAAATTGTTTGTTATATTTTCTTTATCTATAGATGTCATTGTTTATTTATGAGCTGTTTATTTTACGTATTTTTTCGTATATTTGTTTTTGTTAATGTGAAAAGAGAACGGTACTGATGAATTTTTTTTTTTAATGATAGCATAGTGTGAATATTTGCTTATTGTCTCTATTGTTTCGATGTGTATTTTTTATATAGATTATATTATGTAGATCTTCTTAATGCTCTGTACACGAGAAGATGATGATGCCGTTGCGTACCGCAATTCCGAAGCTTAACAGGCACTAACGACCTTGTTTGAATATCTCGCGAATGCCGAAAAAGAAAACTAATTCTAGTTTTCTTTTTTGGCAAGCACAACGCTGATGATTGGTACGGAACAATCTCGTCCTTCGCGCAACTGGTTGTATTATACTTATTGCATTTGTCCATTCGACCTGTATGTAACTAGTGTAAACGTGTGTCCGGCTAGCGTGAGCACAAATCTGGGCACTTGAGGTTGGAATCGACTGTGAGTATGCAAAAATTAACTGTTGAACTGATATTGCTATTTGGGATCTAAATAACATCAAACGATGTTGAACATGTTTAAAAATGTTTCTATTCATTCGCAAGAATGTGTTGATTGTCTTTGTTGTTATTTTTGGTGATTGTTTGCCGTTGACGTTGCTCACAACTGATTCCGTAAAGTGATAAGCAGTTTTTATATACACATTAAATGTTATTTTTTGTTGTGGCAGCTTTTTTACGTCTCCATTTTTTTTAATGATCTTCCTATGACAGCGCGTCCCGCATACATATAAATATAATTTCCTTGATCTTTCGCGCTTGTTATAACCTGGCGAAACTTGGAGAAATCCAATACAAAAATGCTCTTCATTGTTCGTCCTGACAGAGCAAAGGATCTTCTCACATTTTTTGTTGTTGTTGAAAGCCGTGCGTGAAAAATTTACGCAGGAACGTGTGTCACGATGACATTTCGTTACTTCTCCTCTGTCACCGAACGCTTTGATTAAAGAAAAATTTCTTGAAATTGTTGACACAAATTCAAGAGTTATGTCTAACGGACACTAGTTCTGCCCCGATTGTTTGATCAAATGTTATTTATTGTTTAAATATGATGACGATATTGTACTTTGTACAATGAAAGCAACAAGACCGGGCCTGTGCACATTTTTATCAATGTTGATGAAAATGGAATTATAGAAATATATTCATTTCCGAGATTCTCCGCAATTTCTTTGCTCAAAGTTAAAGCCCATTCAGTGCAGTCTGTTTCTGTTCTTTCGTGATGTCACACAATAATACTACGAAACTGCGTAAGCGAGAGAAGTTAATTGTTAATTCTAATTTAACTTTCTTCTTTTCGCTTATGTTCTCTCATATACACTTGCTGAAATGATCCAAGTGCAGAATTTAATCTTTTAATCGTTAATTTTGTGTCTATCGAATGGATGGAAAGCCGTACATTATTTCAACAAATTTCTCGATGTAAATATTAAACACCACCATAACGTTAACATCGCCTAATGAATGAAGAGCCGCAAAGGAAAATTAATTAAGACGAATGAATCCGCGGGTCTTAACGTATCGATGATACCCAATTAACGTAATAATGTAACGATAAGCGAGCGTAGCTGTCCTTCAATACTTACCTACCTACCTACCACGTTAAGTAATAGGAGTAAACGGAATAATGGAGTCTCATGTCTTTTGACTATTAATGATTAGTATTATACCGTACGACGAGAGCTGGTGACGAGATTGACGACGATGATGATAACGATGATGATGGCGAGTGAGGTGGTAATTCATTGACAATGAATGTAAATGTATCCATTTTCAAAACTTGATGTAGAATTATATTCGTAAGCTATCTATGATATTACAAACGAAATAAAAACATATAGTAAATTATATGAATGCTTATTTTATTCCTGCGTAATAAAATTCTTACCATTCTATTATCACTTTCTTTTTCGCTATACGTATATAATCGCAAATAATTCAAATCAATTTAGATATAAAATATTACAAAAAAGCACCATTTTGCAGAGATGGACGAATTTTGATAGACTTAAACTTTGACGAATAAATACACGAGAATAATGTAGACGTATACTCATGATGAAGGAAATAGAGATATATGTATATGTATATTTCGAATGTTTTAATTTCTCTCATTATTCCTTCACCTTGTTATCTTTATTCTGCGCAATATTAGATACCGAAAATGGAATATTGAATAGTAGAATATGATCATCCAAAATAGGCGTAACTTTATCTTTTATTGCGAAGATTCGAATTTATAGCAGTTTTTGTATAAATGTAAATGGAGCATTGTTTAGTTTTTGTCTTAATTATCTTATCAAATCATGAAAACGAGAAAGGGAAAAAGGCTACAAAGTGATAGTGTCAAAAATCACCAAGTTAATTTTCTCATTTGCAAAAATTTACATTTTGATAGTAAATTTCGGCACGTGAGGACGACAAGCTTTTGTTTCTATCTTCTAAATTTCCATCCCCACATCTCCTCGAATTTTCGCCACTTTTACGCTTGCAAGGGTGGAACATTGAAATGGAGGCATCGAGTGGTCGCGTATGGCTGCGGATATTCGGAAATAACCGTATCGGTTTATGCGTCACGGTCCCCTAGGCTCTCTTCCTATTTGCCGATCACCCATTTCTCTTGCAATCCGTTTGTATTTGGTGTATCGCACCATTTTGCTTTGTATCGCGCATCTTTCGTCTCGTAAATGATCGTTTTTATAACCCGAAATACTGTTCCAAGATAAAAAGAAAATCACAAATAACACAATATTAGAAATAACGTGACATAACTTTTTAAAAAATGTCCAACATAAGATGAAAAAATTATATTGCATAATTTATTTAAACGATACGATTGCATTTTTTTTCAACAACAATTTGGAAAGTGCAATATTACGGTTCAATCAACGGAACGATAAACTAAAAATAACGATTGAATGATGATTGATATAATTTTGTAGTCATTCGGAACACGATTCGATTTTTGAAAATTTTTATTCATTATTACATTTTTGTTTTACATGAACATACGAGTTCAAAGTGGTGTCGTAAGTATATTTCCGTTAATGTATGAAACCAGTTGTTCGCAGCACATTCCCCTAATGTTAACGTAGAATCTCGCCCTGATCCGCTTTACAGAATCTTATTCTCCATGGTAGGCGGAGAGCCTAGGATCCGGTATTGTCTGATTGACGAATGAAATAGATCCCGTGGCGAAACCCGTCCCGGGTCTCTTTGTCCTTGCCTGGTGTTTCCGGAGGGTCCAGGACGTTTCCCCGGGCGCGACTCGCCATTGGCAATCCGCGAAGCCTCGTACGCGCGCGGCGCATATGGAATATTAATTCGCGGGGTTAAGGTTACCAACGGCATCGCGTACATACGAACGGTCATGTATATCCGCACGTCGCGCACATATATCCACGTCGCTTCGAATGTATGTCTTCTCGCCGGCACGGCGAGCACCGTCCTCCATCCCGTTTCTCTGCCCTTACTTATTGGTTTCGTTGGCCCCTGGCGCTCGCTCGGGAGGTAGGAAAGTGGCGTGGACCCGGTATGAGAACCGAAGGATCGTGCTGCCTACGCGGAGGAAGAAAACGGGCGAAGGGCGACGTCCCTCGGGGACTTTAACTGAAACGTATAAATGGATGAAGGCGCGGAAGCGGTGACCCTCTCTTCTGAATACAACGACGACCATTGTTCTCCGTAGATCACAACTAAGTATCCCAGAGGCATATCGTTAACGGTGCGCTTCGTGTCCCTCGTACGTGATGCAATTTGTGTGTGATATAAGACATGGATAGAATTTCAAAAAAAAAAAAAAGAGGAAAAAGTAACGTGAGAACGAAAAAAAATAAATCGCTTCTCTGAAAAACGCAATCAATTTAATGTATAATAATAATTATTATTTGCTTATCGTTTTGAAAAAAGATTTTTTTTAATATTATCAACTTTTTATTACATTTTTTATATATCAAAGTCGTTAAAGCGGAGATGAAACACCGAGAGAAACGTTTCAGCGGTAACGAATCAGCCGGTTATACATTAAAACATTGCGGATGACGAAAACAACAGGGGACATGTACCATGCTCTTCACATCTCGGTCGTTATACGCCGCTAACTTTATTGCCCCAGTCTCGGTCCACAGTCTCACGGTCTCTTATCTCTCTCCCCGTGCTTGTAACATTACAGCCACGCTATACTTTCCGAGTCTTGCGGAGACATGTCGGTCGGTGTGCGCGCCGTTGCGCCAGGGTCAGATCAGCCTCTCCTGTGTTACGTGCAAGTAGCCAACAGTGTCTTCCGCGAATTATTTCTTTATCGTTCTAGATTCTAACGGTTTTCGGTTCCTATACCATCACGGAATTCTTAACGAAAATTTCGCCCGTTACAAAAGCGACGGTTTAATTCATAGAACATTACAAGTCATCATTTTCTCACATTTAAACATATTTCTGCAAATATCTATTTTAATATCTATTTAGATATCTTTACGTCTATATTTTTAAATATTATTTTATATCTCCCTGTATATATTTCTTGTAAAGACGATTTTCTTACGCTATAGCATATGAAAGTTATGATACAACGAGTTGCTGATGAAAACCTTTTCTTATTTTACTGCTTGAATTTCCCTCGAGTATATTCTCCGATGTAGATATCTCGTAACTAGAATTAATTAACGATCTATTGCTATTACGGCTTAGCGCGTTATATTAATTTTCACAGAAATAACGCTGGCAATTAAATATGTGTACGCCCTTCAACTGCATAAATATAGCGTCGTTTTTTTGTGAGAAAAGTGAAATGCGATGATAACGATGTGATAAATATGTTTGAGAAATTACTCAAATGGTAGAGGAGACGTAACTCACCTCGAAAGCTGCATACCGTAAATGGAACACGTCGTCGGGTTCTTATCGGCTGTTTCATTCCGTACCCGTACTTTTGGCCCGAGCTAATTGAGATCATATCTCTTTGCTCTTTACGAGGCTTCGCTCCTCCCATCCGCAACAATGTAGATCGTTGGTGTTAGAAACTTCGTAATATTAAGTCAAGAAATTGCTTGCGCACATCCGACTGAAGAACTTCGATATCCTGCATGGAAAACACTTATCAATTGGTCGCAATTCGATTCGATGATAGATTACAATCGCACAATAAATTGTAGTGATCATTGCTGCCGTTAATCCGCGACTGTTTGTTCTTCGTAAAATGCCTGTTTTTAGCGAGCGAATAAAGTGGCTCCACCGCGTATATGTACCGACAATTTATTTTATTCCGACGAAAAATTATGATTGTGTTTAATTATATGTGCTACAGATTTGAAATGTTACGATTAACTTGCTGCAATAAACAGTTTTAAGAAATTCCCACCAACGCTCTCGCTGAGACCATTGTCGTTAGGACGGTCATAAAGATTTCATTTTTTTCAAGGAAACGGAGTTGAAGGGTAACCTTTAGTCCGTCTTGGGCATTTTTTTCTCGAAACAAACGAAGTTGCGCGAGGGTATATTGTGACCAATAGCGAGAGGAGTCCTTGCCTGGCTTAGAAGGGATATATCACAGTGCGAACTTTCTTCAGTTTTCTCTCGTTCGTCCAATAGCATATATTGCTTTCTAAAAATTTCCGCGGTCTGTAATACAAGTTGATTAAATTAGTTTGAGCATTCTCTATAGTGTTATAATTATATTTAGAAAAATTATTACGTTCGGACGTATGTAATTTATGTGAAGTGTGAGTGTTTCAAAGTGTGTGACAAAGAAAGTTAAAATTGCATAGTTAAAGTCGGTTCTGGTAAATCCTTCATGAAGAATAATGGCTATAAGCGTTAACGTTGGTAAGTACAAAATTTATACATTTTATATAATAAGTATTAATTAACTAAATTTGGAAGAAAATTTGTATTGCGTTGTATTAAGGAAAATTTGTTTAATACTTGTTTAATAATTAAAATGTATGTGTTATAAATGTATAATTCAATACGTTTAAAGAGACTTTGTTCGAGGTTTTATTCAAGGTCGCTTGTGTACATATGATAGCAAATAATTATTACAATTTTAGTTCAAATTATTGCGAGTCTTAGCAACGTGATAGAGATAAGATTCGTTAAATCGAGATAAATTAGTGCTCCAATTCTGTCGCTGTTATATCGTGTAAAAAAAAACAGAAAAAAAGGAAAACATTTATGGTATCAAATTTGTACCTTGGCACGATCGGTGCAATCAACGAAATAGAGTGGACTCTGAAATACAGATAAGTTTCTATGCGACATTTCGCACCTACAGCTACGTGAAAGCGTTGGACAACTTCGAAAATATCGACCGTAAGGTCACCGTATAGTTATCGTAGTCGACAATTTAACCGACACGTGCTCATTATACCGGTGTTTTTTTTTGTTCAATTTTCTTGCACTCCGTCTGGTTCTTGCGTCTGGGCCAATACCGGGAGATGGAAAGCTCAGATTGTCTTTAACGACTACCCTTGCCGCGTATTATATGCGCGGCCGCATGTGCGTGCGTTGCATGTGCGGCACTCGCAAATTCTTCGCCGTTTTCCACATAATTGGTCGGCTCGGTCGGAGTAAATTGCTGGCGTGCAGATTAGAGGGGACACGTTTCGAGGGGCGAACATTGCCTACGCCATTCGTATTCTCGGGTAAATCATGTTAATTTTTAGAAACTATTACCAAGACAACGATCGATTTTGTGCGCACTGTTTCCAGGAAACAAACATCGAGCATGTTGGTATTATTCTGTCAAATAATTGTTCGAATACTCGTGATAAAAATTTTTATCATCCGTTTTGGTTCATGGTCTATGGGATGTAAAAATATTAGAGAAAAAGAGTGTAACTAACGACTTATAT